AATAATAATAAACAAGAACATTATTATTATTATTATATTATCATTATATTATTATTTCTGTTTTTATTATTATTATTATTATTATTCTCAGTGTATTAATCTCTTATGGGACTTTACAATGTAAGGATTACAAACAAGCTGGGTAATAGAGAATAATAGAGAAAATCTTTTTCATTGACAAGTACATACAGTTATATAAAAAAATAAACCAAATACAACAATAACAAGGTTCAATAGGAAAACGAGAGTCCTGCATACACAGTCTAAAGCTAGCCATACACTGGTAGAGTTTCATACAAATATTTATATGAAAAATCTCATCAGAACATCTCACCAGACTTGTGATTTTGTAGAATGTCATTTGAAATTATGATTTGAACATTCGGTTTTTAAATGAATGGAATTTGTTGAACAAAAAACACATTTCACTGTTAGAATTTTGTGCAAGAAAAACATTCCATCCCACTTTTTTATTTTTTTCATCAATAGGGTTGAAATTTATTGTCAATAACTATTGGAAAATCGAACGAACCTTCCACAATTCTAACTCCTCTTATGTTTATAATAGCATGTTTATGTATACACAGAAATATAATTTGTCATTGATAGATAGATAGATAGATAGATAGATAGATAGATAGATAGATAGATAGATAGATAGATAGAGATAGATAGATAGATAGATAGATAGATAGATAGATAGATAGATAAATAGCTAAAGAGACAAACATGTGTTTAGTCAACAATATAAAAACAGTATATAACTAAGGTAAACATTGACTAGCTGTAAACCATTTTTCTAGATAGTGCTTTATTCCATGCAAGCTTTACTGCTTGTTCACACCATAGCACATGCTGCTTTGCATTTTTAAGTTGCGTTACTCTGCAGTGCATTTTGTACATGCCTTGCAGTGTGTTTTTTAAACCTTTTTTTCGAACTTTATGGCATTACTGTTTGCTACAGCTCAACATGTTCTTTACAGTGCATAGTATGACACAATAGGACATAAGGCAAAGTGTCTCGGTTTTACGTTGCCCAACATTGCCGGTGTGAATGAGCCCTTGAAATGATGAATGAAGCACTTTGTGCAGAATGTTTCTGGCTGGCTTACTCCAGGTAAACCTAAAAACTACCCTTGCAGGGGGGCTACCCCTGCACTGCAAGGGTTTAGCGCTAATTTCTGTCTCAGGGACTGGAGTAAAGCACTTTTACTTACCTGATCACTACTCCCCCGCTAGTCAGCGCGTGTCCTCTCTCCCTTCCAGTCCAGCTAGTGAAATGTCCTGCGGCGTCCTTACGTCTAATGCAGGTTAATGGACCTGCATTAGAGGTGATGACTTCAGAGCTCCTTAGACCGCCGCAGTGTAGGGCAGAAGGGCCTGCAGGACTGGACGGAGCAGGAATCAGGTAAGTAAAATAGCTTTTTCCTGTCCCCTAGACATAAACAACACTACAAGAAGAACTCCAGGCAGAAATATTGTTAACCCTTGCATTGCTGAGCTAAAGTGCTTGTTTTAGTCTAGGAACGAAAATAAAAAATATATACTCACCTGAACCTCGCAGACAGCCAGCTATTAGGCCAGTCCCTGCAGCCTGTCTCCTTCTCCTGTCTCCTGTCTCCGGTCTAACGGGCAGCTGGCTCCAAGGTTCAGGTGAGTATATCTTTTTTATATTCTTCCCTAGATGAAAATGAGCACTTAAACCTTTACAAGGGCAATTGTTTGCGTTCATAATAAAGTAATACAATAAAAATTGCATTTGTTACTACAGTGTCAGAGCACTGATTGTACAGCAGCCAGAGCAATTTATATATAGCCATAGGATAGGAGCGTGGATTATAACAGATTAGCATCATTTTTTTGGTTTGCCCAGAAAAAAAAACGTAGAAAAAAACCCACAAATATAGTAATACTGTTTATATTAAAAATAAAAGAAATAGCTTCCTCTTTCTTATACGAAGGAGGTAAAGATGTCAATACAAGTTCCTGTGTTACTGAAGGGGTGGTAGACGCTTTGAATGTCACCACGGCAGACGTAGTTTATAAATAAATAGTCAATGTATTTCTGGTCTGAGAATAAACTGTTAATGGTGGAACATAACGATGAGGACAGAAGAGGGTAAATAGTTAACACCAACACAATATTCATTTATTTTAGTGGTATACAATAAAAACAAATAAAAAATATATATACAGTATATATATTGTATTTATTTTATTTATTTATGTTGTCCAGAGGAAAACACAGTATAGTAAACTCAAAATATTTTTCCCTTATATTTTAAAATAACCCAAAAGAGTGATAGGCAGAGATCCAAAGTGTATCTAAAGCCACAAGTGACTTTTCTTTTATTATAGATAATATAGGAAATGATTAGCACCCCTGACAGGTCTTGATTGCTGCCTGGGGAGATTCACCTTCTCTATTTGTCCTGATGACCATTGTTACCGATATTTAGGGTCCATTCACACTTTTACGATCTGTTGTGGCGCACTAACACACATGCGTTGTGAAGAGCATTAACGTGCATTGCATTTATGTGATCTATTCACTGAAAAAGGCGTTGTGGCGCACCACCGTGCGTTGGCAGCTATTGTACATTGTGATGGTGTGCCACTGAAAATGAAGACACCACAATCCATTGTACCTTGACATGTGTTGCGGCAACGTGTGCTACTGCAATGTATAGGTGTTGATGGGCCCTGAAAGTGAGGGATAATGGAAACTTTTGACTTTTGAGAGGAGCTCTTCCAATGAGGATGCTTACTGTCCCGACAACTGTCTAATGGAGGCATTTCCTTGCTTTGGAGGAATTTTTTCTCACTTGCTATTTTGTCTACAGGCCAATTGGACACAGCAAATAACCTGACTGGGCTTTTCACCCTTTTCTTACTCTATCCAAAACTAAACAAAAAGTTTTGGCTTGAGATACATTTTCTCAAAATATTTTGTTACCAGAAAATAAAAATTATCAGGTGAAAAATAGTAAAAAATAAATTAATGGTTAATTTACACGAGAAGTGGGTACTGTGAAAAGGTTTGTATACATAACAAAAATAAATAAGACATTGTAGCAAGCAGCATGATATATCACCTGACACACCTGTCTATTCACGAAGCAGCCGAAGGATCTAGCCGTAGCTTCGGCCGATCCTTCGGCTAGCTTCGGCCCCAGATAGGGTGGGTTCACACCACAGTGCAAGCGTTACCACACTTGCGTTGTGGCACGTTGTAAATGGGTTGGCCAGTGTTATGCAACATTTTAACGCAGCTCAACACAAGGCAGCGCACACTGGGTGGGAATTTATCAAAACTGGAGCAGAGAAAATCTGGAGCAGCTGTGCATGACAACCAATCAGCTTCTCTGTTTCATTTTCAAATCTTAACTGAACAAACTGAAGAGAGAAGCTGATTGGTTGCTCTGGGCAACTGCTCCAGATTTTGTCTGCTCCAGTTTTGATGAATTCCCCTCACTGTGTTTGTGTTGACCATCTCTGCCCAATGCAGCACAGTGGCTGTGATGTGAACCAGCCCTTATGCTTTCAAGAGTAGTAGAAGGGGAAATACATCAAGAATTAAGTTTCCATCTTTATTTGGTGCTAATTTCGGGTGTCCCCAACAAAACCAATGGGAAATATTAAAGAAGGTAGAGGCATGTTTAAAGTGTACTTATTTATAGTATTTTGTGCTGTGGATAGTGCAGGGCAGTCTTCTGCAACTTTTTTCATCCATCTGGATGAATCCTTAAAATAATTTTCAGGTATCAGGGAACTCCTGCTAAATATTATTATACCTAAAGCCAACGGTACATTAGCATGATCAATAAGAAACACATACACCAAAAATTGTGGTATAACCTAATGTTAGAGGTCAATGTAGAAATTACCCCTTACATTAGTGAAGATTGCCCCCTAGCATTGATTGTCGGTGGAAGATGGCCCTCTAGCAATGGTGGTCAGTAGAAGATCACCCCCTAGCATTAGTGGTCAGTGGAAGATTACCCCTAGCATTGGTGGTCAGTGGAGGATTGCCCCATAGCATTGGTGGTCAGTGGAAGAATGCCCCCCCCCCCCTACCATTGGTGGTCAGTAGAAGATTGTGTGTGGGTGCCCATTCACACTTGTGGCAATGTGTGCTAAAATGCATAAACACAGCGCATGGCAAAGCACCTGCTCTATGTGCAGTGCGTTGTAGTGCCATTGTCTACCTTCAGTATTCCAGTGTGGATGGGAAGTGCAGTCTTCAGGGTTACAGACACACGATCCCCTTGGCACACAGCAAGCACACTGTAATGCACATGTCAAACTTGCCAGCATTGAAATGCGAAGATCTCAGATTTATTGCACACAGGGGAGACATTAATGCATAGACAGAGTGAGGAAGTCTGTGTGCCCGCTGGGACATTCACTCCCTCTATTGGTCCTAGTGATCACCAGGACTGAAAGTGAAACAGAACCCACCATTCAGAGTTTGAGAATAAAACAGTAATAGAGGGGAAATGTTTCAGTGGGAACATTTGTTCTGAGGACAACTAAGAGGTTCCATCTCATTTCTAGCCTACTTGGAAAAGTGGGGCAGCAAAAATATGGCCGTTATGGACAAAACAGGGGCTTTTCCTTTTTAAGGCAACCAAACTTTTTATTTTCCTGTGAGGATTTAGAGCACAAATATTAACAGTTTTGTTTTGTCTGTTTAGGTCTCTTAGAAATTTCCACAGTAGAAAGAGGAGTTATTAGCTTGTACGGTGTGAAGACCGAACACTTTATAGCAATGAACAACAAAGGAAGAGTATATGCTTCAGTAAGTACTGCATATTCTTATATTACTTGTGCTGAGATGAATAGTGAATCTAAAGCCCAAACTGCTAAAACCCCTGTCAGATTTTTCTTTTCCATTTGCATGCCATTGGGGAGATTTCTATTCATTTTATGTCTTGTAGACACAACAGCAAGTGAGAATCTTTCCAAAGTGAGGGAATTCTCCTCCTAGACTGTTGTCCCCATTGCAAGATTTCCACTTAATTCCTGTTCTGGTAATGACTCACAATTTAGGATTGTCACTTCTAGTCCATTTTACAGTGGTCAGCAGGAAGAACAGAAAAAAATGAATCTATCCCATCAGGGACACAGATAGCAGTAAAAAACTAACAGAGGTCCCCCACCTCTTACCACTCTATCCAAGAGTAAAATTGTCTTTGGATATGCTTTCAGTTATGCTGAAAAATGTTTTAATATTATTAGGTTAATATTCCATGATGTTATTCAGTGCTAGCTTAGTGATGTAACTTTTGGAGACAGATTGCAGTCTCAGTTAATTTACTGTTCTATAGCAAAGGGATAGCCTGGAGTCTGAATGACATCACTCGTTTGGTGTGAATAGATAGATCACATAACTTTCATGTTCTCAGTGATGTCACTGGTCTCTAGTAAATGGATGAGCTACAGTCTCAGTGATGCCACTAGTCCCTAGTAAATGGATGAGCTGCAGTCTCAGTGATGTCACTAGTCTCTAGTAAATGGATGAGCTGCAGTCTCAGTGATGCCACTAGTCTCTAGTAAATGGATGAGCGGCATTCTCAGCGATGTCAGTGTTCTCTAGGAAATGGATGCGCTGCGTCCTTAGTCATGTCACAGGTCTCTGGTGAAGGGATAGGCTGCATCCTTAGTGATGTCATTGGTCTCTAGTAAATGGATGAGCTGCATTCTCAGTGATGTCACTGGTCTCTAGTAAATGGATGAGCTGCATTCTCAATGACGTCACTGGTCTTTGGTGAATAGATGAGTTGCATTCTCAGTGATGTATCTGGTCTCTAGTAAATGGATGAGCTGCATTCTCAGTGATGTCACTGGTCTTTGGTGAAGGGATAGGCCGCATCCTCAGTGATGTCACTGGTCTGTAATAAATGGATGAGCTGCATTCTCAGTGATGTCACTGGTCTGAAGTAAATGGATAAGCTGTATTCTCAGTGATGTCACTGGTCTGTAGTAAATGGATGAGCTGCATTCTCAGTCACTTCACTGGTCTCTAGTAAATGGATGAGCTGCATTCTCAGTGATATAATTGGTCTCAAGTAAATGGATGAGCTGCATTCTGAGTGATATAATTGGTCTCAAGTAAATGGATGAGCTGCATTCTCAGTGATGTCACTGGTCTGTAGTAAATGGATAAGCTGCATTCTCAGTGACTTCACTGGTCTGTAGTAAATGGATGAGCTGCATTCTCAGTGACTTCATTGGTCTCTAGTAAATGGATGAGCTGCATTCTCAGTGATATAATTGGTCTCAAGTAAATAGATGAGCTGCATTCTCAGTGATATAATTGGTCTCAAGTTAATGGATAGGTTACAATCTCAGTGATGTAGCAGGTCTCCAGTGAATGGATATGCTGAGTCCTCAGTGATGTTACTGATTAACTGTGAATGGATAGACATTACCTTGAAATACATGTGCAATATGGGCTTGTGTCTTTTAGATTCCAGGCTTTTTTAGTTAACAGTCTGCAACTAACTGCAATATATAAGTATAAATACAGAAAGTTTGCAACAGCTTTCTTTTCCTAAATGAAATGAAATGTGGGCTAAGCCACCTAGAGGAGCTATTTTAATCATAGGTAATGCCTGGTGGGCAAAGTCAGTCTCTGGCTTCTTGTATAGTATATCTAGAATAATCTAACAGCGAGATCAAACAGCCATAATTCCCAACTCTTGTCCCTCCACCTGAAAGTTTGGGGTTTTCCTTCCACCTTTGCATGTTCCAGCTCCTCCAACATTAGGGTTGCCACCTTTTTTTCAAACGAAACCCGAACACTCTAGCAGCGCACGGACATTTTGTTGGGAGCATGAGTCGTGTCTTATTCATATGTAAATAATGTCACCCATTCCTATGTAACTATCACAGTAGAGACTATTTTCAGTGGGGGACCAGTAGCCCCTATCTGAATTTTGGTTGCCCCTGTCTGCCTGACATCTTGTGTCTGGGTTTCTGCTGCCATAAAAACAAGGACACAGCATTCAAAACCCGAACTGTCCGGGTCAATCCTGGACAGGTGGCAACCCTGTCCAACATATTAAATAAATTAAAAAATCCACCAGGGAGAGTGAATACTCTTCATAGTTGGCATAGCTTTAATTTAAAGAATGTCTGGTCATGTCTGGTCTAGAGTTTGCGAGGCCTTAGGCGAAACCTAAACATGAGGCCCCACTCAGGCTTGTGGTGTCTCACCAGGGCTCTGTGGGGTCTCACCAGTGCTCTGTGGGGTTTAACCAGTCTGGTTAGACCCCACAGAGCCCTGGGGAGACCCCTAAAGAGCCCTGGTTAAACTATGGTTCTATGGGGTCTTACCAGTCCTGGTTAGACCCCACAGAGCCCTAGTTAAACCAGGACTCTGTAGGGTCCCACCAGGGCTCTGTGGGGTCTCACCAGGGCTCTGTGGGGTTTAACCAGTCTGGTGAGACCCCACAGAGCCCTGGGGAGACCCCTAAAGAGCCCTGGTTAAACTATGGTTCTATGGGGTCTTACCAGTCCTGGTTAGACCCCACAGAGCCCTAGTTAAACCAGGACTCTGTAGGGTCTCACCAGGACTCTGTAGGGTCTTGCCAGGGCTCTGTAGGGTCTCGCCAGGGCTCTGTAGGGTCTTGCCAGGGCTCTGTAGGGTCTCGCCAGCTTGGTTAGACCCCACTGTAGGGTCTCACCAGGGCTATGTGGGGTCTCACCAGCCTGGTTAGACCCCTCAGACCCCAAGTGAGACCTCAAGAAGCACTGGTAAAACCAGGACTTAGCAGGGTCTCACCAGGGCTCTGTAGGTTCTCACCAGCACCAGGGCTCTGTAAAACTCTCTGGGGTCTCACCAGGGCATCAGGGCTCTGTGGAGCCTCACTAAGGCTCTGTGGGGTCAAACCAGCCTTGTTAGACCCACAGAGCCCCGGGGAGACCCCACAGAGCTCTGGTGAGA